GTAGACTTGTGTTTTCATTGCAAATATGCAAGAATTCATTGATGCATTCAGTTGCAAGCTCACAGTGTTTAGGATGCAATTGCATTTGTAAGTTTTAAGCTTTCAATAGCTGCAAGGGAAGCCTTGCAGTTTAGCTGTGCATTACATTATTTGCATCTTTCTGATGGGGTTACTGAGCTTTTTTTTGCCTTTCATACATCAGAACATATAAAGCAAATCTGATAGCTTTTTAGAAAACAGCAATATTGTAACACGCACACACAGAGTATGCAGAAAAAATGGAAGTGGTGATATAAGATAGTTAAATATATGTATTTATGGGGGCACCCTCTGTGTAATAAGGTGTTTGCAGATTGTTTAGGCAGCTGCTTAGGGAAAGGATATTTGGCATCTTGCCTCTCATCTTGCACCAGCACTTGGAGGGGCAGGGCTAGATGTAAACCCACCCTGCCTTTCCCTCAGCCTTCTTTGGGTTCCTGGCATCCACCCTCCTGCCCTTTATTCAGTACAGGTTAACATTTTTTGGCCACACAGGATTTTTTAAATTATTATTTATTTTGCCTGTCAGCTGATTGCTGGCTATTTTTTGTTTTTTGCTTTTTGCCTACTCTGTACTGGTTTTGCAGCTAATGTCCATAATGGTTGGTTGCTGCTAAATAGGTTAATTGGCCACATTGTAGGTAATGCCACCAAGGGCCTTCTCCCAGACTTTGGAAGTCCCTCCTTTGAGAAGCTAAACTGACTCCCTCTTTGCTGTCCTTCATCGGCAGGTAAAGACTTCCTTCTTCCAGCAGGCTTTGGGGAATTGACTGCTTTTAATTAAAGGGCTAGTGCCATGCCATATATATTGTAATTATTGGTATATTTTAACAAATTTTATATATGTATATAGTGTTAATTCCATCAGTGTTTAGTTGTATTTTAATAATTGGCTTTTCTTTGTTTTTACCGGTTCTCATTTTTATCTGTAAGCTGTCCTGAGTTATGTCAAGGGAAAAGGTGGCATAGAAATAAATTAATAATAATAATAGCGCTGGAAGTTGCCAAGTAGTTAAGGTTTGTGAGCACCCTTAGGCACCTTTAAATGTGAAGGCTGTAGACCCAATATAAAAATAATAAATAATTTTTTATTTATATCCCGCCCTTCCTGGTTCAGAAAACCAGGCTCAGGGCGGCTAACAACAAATTTAAAACACTTAATTGATGCAACAAAAAAACAGCATAAAATACAGTATAAAACGTGAATAACAATAAATCCATCCAATAAACATTAGATGATCATCAGGGCTAGCTGGCTAAATTAGTCCTATTGGGCCAGCGAGGAGACCAGGGGAGAATTAGCTGTGGGATCCCAGAGAGGTAATCTTCATAAAAGGGGAGGGGGAGGGAAGGAAGGTGAATAAAAGATCAGGCTAAGTTCAAATTGAAAGCCAGGCGGAATAGTTCTGCCTTACAGGCCCTGCGGAAGGAAGTTAAATCCTGCAGGGCCCTGGTCTCATGGGACAGAGCATTCCACCAGGTGGGAGCCATCACTGAGAAGGCCCTGGCCCTGGTAGATGATAATCTGACATCCTTAGGGCCTGGGGCCTCTAAACTATGATTATTCATGGACCTTAAGGTCCTCTGCGGGGCATACCAGGAGAGGCGGGCCTGTAAAAACGAGGGCCCTATGGGCTTTAAAGGTCAAAACCAGCACCTTGTGTTCCTTTCAAGGCTGTGGGGTCCCACACTGGTAGGATATGGAGCACCTTTGAGGCCAACTTGAAACACTTGCCTGGAATGCTTTCTACTTGCTTGAAAGGGTGGGCTTAAGGGAAGGGTTAGTTAAAATGCAATCCCTCACCCTTGGTAGGATTGGCTCACCCAGTTTGCTTTGTGCAGTTAATATCCCACACCATGGTTCCCTACTACCAATACATAGTGTTAAATTAATACAGTGGTACCTCGGGTTACATACGCTTCAGGTTACGGACTCTGCTAACTCAGAAATATTACCTCATGTTAAGAACTTTGCTTCAGGATGAGAACAGAAATTGCGCTCCAGTGGCGGGGCGGCAGCAGGAGGCCCCATTAGCTAAAGTGGTGCTTCATGTTAAGAACAGTTTCAGGTTAAGAACGGACCTCCGGAACGAATTAAGTACAGTGGTGCCTTGCAAGACGAAATTAATCTGTTCCGCGAGTCTCTTCGTCTTGCGGTTTTTTCATCTTGCGAAGCACGGCTATTAGCGGCTTAGCGGCTATTAGCGGCTTAGCGGCTATTAACGGCTTAGCGGCTATTAACGGCTTAGCGGCTTTAAGAAAAAGGAAACAAACTCGCAAGAACTCGCAAGACGTTTCATCTTGCGAAGCAAGCCCATAGGGAAATTCGTCTTGCGGAACGACTCAAAAAACGGAAAACTCTTTCGTCTAGCGAGTTTTTCGTCTTGCGAGGCATTCGTCTTGCGGGGCACCACTGTACTTAACTTGAGGTACCACTGTAAATGTGACTCGGTTCTCTCAACCTTTCTGTCTTACATCCTTATTTCCCCATGTGGTTGCAATCCCACAAACTCTTGATTTACATATGCAAGAGGCTCATTGCAGTATTCATAGGATTTGTGGATTACATGCTCAACCTACAGAAGCATCATCCTAATTTAAGTGCTTGTTATATGGACCTTGAAATCAGTTAAATTACTAAAACAGTGAAATAGAATATTCAATAAGAAATTAGTAACTGCTTAAAATGTGTGCTAACAAATAAAGTGAGAGCGAGAGGAAAAGAGGGAGAGAAATGCCAATAAAACTTTGAAAATGCTCCCTCCTATCTTGTTTAATAAAAATATGGGTCCTCTGTGAAAAACATTATTACAGGAGCCCTTGAAGCAATTGCTGGAAAATAGCTTTTTCATTACTTCAAAGTTACTTTAAAGTAGCATGAAATCAGAGCTCCTGGTTTTATGGTGAAAGGTTTTATGTCAAGTCTGAAAACATGCTGCTCTCTATACCTTTTTTAACTGCTACAGTTTGAGAGTGGGGAACCTGATATAATTAAGTATGCATCATTGTAAGTTAACTAATATTCAAAATATTATGGATGCTCATCTATCATAATTTGGCAGAGCAGAAGGCACTTGGTAATTTAATTAAAGTCTCCGGCCACAATCCATTGCATAATTATGTGAACTTGAAGTCTCATCAAAATCAATGTCATATAACTCTGTGCTAGATTTTGTCCACAGAATTAATATTTGAAAAAAATGTGACTGTGCACACAATCCTATGAATACTTACATGAGAGGGTGTTCCATTGGACACAGGGGGACTTACTTCTGAGTAGACATGCAGTAGGATAGGCTGCATGCCTCAGAGATCCATAAATGTTACTGGAGCAATGGAAATGTTCATTTTGTTGTTGACGCTGCTCTGGAAAGTCATGCAGAGCTGTGAAGTCGTACTCTACTATTAGTATGTCTTTCAAAGGCCATTTGCCATATTAAAGTACATAGGTTAGGTATACATTGTGCTCACCACAGTACCCATAACTGCAAATTTGATAGCAGATGATCTTTTGACAGCATCAACTGCAAACTTATAATATAAGGTAGATCAGCTTAGGATCATATCCTTGAAAGTAATTTTACAAGTTATCAAAAAGCAGAGGCAAGCAAAAGCACATACTTCCATTATTCAAAACTTTCCTTACTTTTATCTTAGGCTTCTTGGTGAAGCATAAAGTAAAGTTGGACTGGGTTTTGATTGGAAGCTCTTTTTCGGGCCACCAACACTTCTGTGTCCATAAAATAGCATTCATTCACACTCAGAATGTGGCTGCCAAGAGAGCATCTGCAATCTTTCTATGCTATAAATAGATAAATGTATTTTTTAAAGCTCATGTCATTTAAGGTGATTTCTGTAAGAAGTGAAGCAGAAATGTGTAGATGAGCTAGCTAAGAAGAAAAACCAGCAATAGTTCTTAAATGAAGCTAAAGCTATGATAACCACAGAAATTCCTAAATAAAACTAAACCTATAATAACCATAAGTCTACAAATAGGTATGTGCATTCATACAGCTGCTCACAACAGGCATACATTTTACTCTTTTGCTGAGCAGGGAAAACTTTATATACATTTAAAGATTAGGGAAATTCATTTTGGGTTCAGTAAATGTATTTAAACTGCAGTGACATCCTGATGTGTCCTATTAATGTGATAAAAGGTGAAGCCCGGTGAGCAGTTTGATAGTAAACCTAGTTGACACTTGGCTCTTGTACCAACTAATAAAATTAGATTTGCATATTTTCACCAGACTTGTTTATATACATAATGTGATTGTACACCTTCCTAGCGATTGGTCCGTAACAATAATACAAAGTAAAGCTAGTCAAAATCTGTCAATTTTGGTTTGGGCTTTTCCTAAAAATTTTCTGAAAGCTCCAACTCATTCAGGAGCTCCCCAGCAACAAAACAGGTTTCCCAGCATGCTCAAAACTTCTAGCGGTGCTGGGATTATTCATTTTAATTCCATTTATCCAGGAAGATTTAAAACAGCAGATAAAAAGAGTCTAGGGCCAGGCACTTGAGGCGAACCACACAATGGCTCCTTCTCCCCCTGCCAGTGTAGTGAGATGGAGGTGATGGTGTGGAATAAACTTTGCTTTATCTGGGAAAAGTACAAATCTAGACATCTAAACACAACTCCCAATACACACCACTGTAAGGGACTCCTGACCATTAGGTCCAGTCGTGGCCGACTCTGGGGTTGCGGCACTCATATCGCTATATTGGCCGAGGGAGCCGGCATACAGCTTCCGGGTCATGTGGCCAGCAGGACTAAGCCGCTTCTGGCGAACCAGAGCAGTGCACGGTAACGCCGTTTACCTTCCCACCGGAGCGGTACCTATTTATCTACTTGCACTTTGATGTGCTTTCGAACTGCTAGGTTGGCAGGAGGAGGGACCGAGCAACGGGAGCTCACCCCATTGCGGGGATTCGAACCGCCGACCTGCTGATCGGCAAGTCCTAGGCTCTGAGGTTTAACCCACAGCGCCACCCGCGTCCCACACACCACTGTAATCCCCACATAATGAAACACACAAAAATCAAGTTGCAGTGTTTTGTGACCTCTGGAACTTTCTAGAGGTTATACCCCAGAACCTTCTCCCCCCCCCCCCCGAGGTGGAAAGCTGCTTACTGGGTTTGGGAAGGTCGTGGAAGGGCCTTGAGAGATTCCCAGGGCCCTCATGTGACCTTCCCAAACCCTGGTAATTGAGGAAGTGCCTTCCTTACCAGCCTCTAGGATGTTCCCAGCAGCAAAAGGGGGTGTGACAGTGGGGAGGAAAGGACAGCACATTCTTGTTTCACCTCAGATTGTGAAATGGAATGGGCCGCCCCTGCCAGTATGTATGAATTTTATTAAATGAATAAATACCGTAAATAGTAGCCATTTATAGACTTATCATCCATGAATTTGTGCTCTTTTTTAAAGTCCCCCACTTGGTGGCCATTACTGCCTCCTCTGAGAGTAAGCTCCATAGCTTAACTATGGCAGTGCATAAAGAAATTCTTGCTTCTATCTTTAAATGTTTAAATTCTATCTTTTGAATCTTTAAATGTTCAGCTAGGTTTTTTGTTGTTGTTTTTTGTGAGCAACTAGAAGGTCCATCTGCATGGATATACTTCAAAAGTTGATTCAGTATAGCCCAAATAAACAAAAACACTAACAAAACCTCTTACTGGTAGTAATATCAATGTGAAGATCTTTAATGATTAATGTACATACATTTTAGCAGGTATTTCAGCACTGATTTAGGGTCACCTGAATCCATTTTCTTTGGTGGAAAACACCATTTCCTCCCCTTTACTTCTTTTCCAAGTACAGCTGGGCCTTAGAGCCATATTTCTACAAGGAAACAATGGGAAAAGTTCAAAACTCGTTGACACATTTATAATACTTCTCCCAAGGCTATAAAAAGCTGCTTTATAGGATTCAGACCAATGGTCCATCTAGATCAGGACTATCAACAGCTGTCTGGGGAAGGGTCCCAGGCAAAGGTCCTTCTGAAGCCAGCTACCCAAAAGCCTTCAAGTGGAAATGGCAGTGACTTAACCTGAAACCTCGTAAATGCAAAAAATAAAAAGCTGGTAAAGCAGTCTGCATTACCATCTGCTCCTGTGTTGTAAGTGAAAAACATAGACAAGTATTTTATGAAAATTGGTTGTGAATGTTGCCACAACATCCGTCACTTTATATGCAAGTGAAATTCCTGTCTGAGCAGGTGACCTATGGAAATGGGGGCAAAAAGTATATAAAGAGAGAAATCAATAGCAATAGCAATTTTCTTGCCTTGGGAATGACTTTCTGAGAATAATTTATTTCAAACAAGCAGAATCACCTTGTTTTATGACAATGTAGTAATCTCAAGGTTCGTGTATTAAGACTTCTCCCCTCCTTATTAAAGAGAGATCCAGAAGTCATATAAAATATGTTAACCTGTTAAAACAACCCAGTGACTAACGTCTATTTTCAAAAACTGTGCTGTAAATCATGATTTATGCTGTACAGAAAATTAATATTTTCTACTGATATATTCCTTTTATGGCCTCTCTTTTCATACATTAGGTTGTTTTACTGCTCATTTCTATAACTGGGTTAAGGCATTCTTTTACTTCTTTGCTTGCCTGTATTCACATAATCTGTTTTATAGCAGTAAAAGGTGAAAGGTATGAAGGGAATCAAAGAGGACTCCATTAATCTTATACCTTTTAGCAATAAACCATTTGCACGACAGGTTAGAACCACACAAATGGAGAGAGCTGTTCCTATAGACTGCCTCACAATTATGGAGTATTGCCATGTCCTCACAGGTCTGCCAGTATTTATTTATTCATAATTACATTTATACCCCACCTTTCCTCTTAGGATCTCTGGGGGGCATACTCCCTCTCCCCCTTCTCCACCTTATCCTCACAACAGCCCTATGATGTACGTCGTGCTGGGAGATAGTTACTGGTCCAAGGAAGTGAGTTTCCGGGCTGAGCAAGAATGTTAACCTGGGTCTCCCCTGTCCTCGTATGCCATCAGTGTTATGCTACAGGCCTATAAATTAGTGAGGCAAAGGGTAACTGAGCCTAGGGATGTTCGGGGCCTATGTCTTTCAGTTGCCAGGTTCACCTGTGTCTAGTTTTCTGGTATATTGAGAATCAGTTCAGTGCCACATTGCAGTTCTCTGAGCCTAGGATTTCTTTGGCCTGGAGACATGTGGCACTATATTTTCCATGCATACTCAGTGTGAATTGCAGAATTCATTTTGAAATCCAATAACTCCATACTGGGTTGTGGGCTTGTAAGAACAAAGCAACCCATGATTGGCTCTGCCAGACTTTCTGGAGAGGTTCTGCTGATTCCTAGATATGGGACTTAACAAGGTAGGGGTGTGGTGTGTGTGTGTGTGTGTGTGTGAGAGAGAGAGAGAGAGAGAGAGAGAGAGAGAGAGAGAGAGAGTGCTTTATAAGGTGACCAGAAACCTTTGAACCTTCTGTGCAGGGCCAACCTATCCATGTGGCAGACTGAGGCAGCTGCCTCGGGTGGCGGAATTCATGAGGCAGTGTCCCATGCACTGCCACCACAGAAGAAGTGGCTGCAGTGGCAGCTTCCAGGTTCCAGCAAGATCTCTTGTAGTCCTGTCATGAGATCTCACCAGAAGCTGCTGCTTCTTCGTCTCTGCTGCCATGGGTACCCTGCCCACCCCGCCACCACCTGGAGAAGCAAGAAGCAGCAGCTGTGGCTTCCAGCAAGATCTCAACAGGCTCCTGCAAGATCTCAATGCTAGCAGCCGCAGCCACTATAGCCATGGCACCCCACCTGCCACTGCTGCTGCTGAAGTAGCAAGAAGAAATGAATGTGGTGGTGGCTTCCAGAATCCAGTGAGATCTCATGGACCTCTTATGAGATCTTCCTGGAACCCAGACACTGTTCCTGCACCACCTAGATAATTGAGGCTTTGGTGCAGTGTGTGCGTGCGGCATCTTCTTGTTTCACCTCAGGTGGTGAAACAGGACAGGCTACCCCTACTCTTGTTCATAGTGGAGAATTATCTTGCAGTTATGAGATGCCTGCCAAAGCACTGCCAAAGCCCGAGGAAAGACAGAGCATCAACACAGCAGTCAGACAGATGCTAGAAATCTCATAGGTCCCAACTACTATTCAAGACCTCACTTGATAAATAAAATAAAAATAAATAAAAATATAGGTTGAAGCCATTCTTTTTCTTTTTTCCCTTTTACTTTGGTTCAAATCATTCTCATTATGGCACTTTAAACTTGCCACACTGTGCCCTCTGACACTTTTAAGGAATTGATGGAAGAGTGTATTGAGGAGTACACCTGAGGTTTGACTACTGGAGTTGGAGCCAGTTGTGGATTGAAAAGAAGGAGAATGCCATGGAATCTTCATTAGCTACTGAGGCAAAGGGAGAGAGTAGGAAGTAAATCAGGTGGAGGCATTCACTGAGCCAGTCAGTCTCCAACCAATAGACAGATATGTGTGCATCCCTCTTGCTAGTGGATGGTTTTGAGTGAATAGTTTCATAAAGTTTGTTGTAGTTGTCACATGCCAAAGCCATTATCTTGCAGTCGAAACATCAAATCAAAGTCTAAAAACATATTTAGTTGTCCAGGCCTTTGTATTGTAGCTGAAATTAATATTGACTGCGGTGGTGCTGCACATGTTTGTTGCTGTTGATTTGATGAGTTTGAGTTTAATAGTGGTTTTATGATTGTATCAGTGTTGTTAGCCACTCTGTGCTCCTGACTGGAGAATGGGTAGGATAAAACATGACAAATTAATAGGGCATGTTTTCACAAATATTTTCACAACTACGTTTTCTTCTTCTTCACATTGTTACTTGCACATTTCTGCCCTTAGAGAGTAAACACTGAGTGTGCTTACAGTACTTCTGTTGCATAACTGTAAGAGTACTTATGTGGTTTGAAAATTTGACTGCAAAATATACAACACAGCAATAAAGACTTCCTTTAGGAATTATGACTAACCATGGAAATAGAATGAAGTCAACTATATTTTATACTTGTGAGGCCCTATTAATAGGACTCTGTCAGTCTGAGTGGTCATTGAATCTCTCTTATTTTAGAGCTCAGATTTTCTGAATGTATTAATTACTCAAACTTCATGATACTTCAGAAGCAAAAAATGCAATTCTTGACTAAATCCACATGAGGCTGCACTGAGAGTCAGCCAGCACAGTAAGAGTAAATTATGCAAACAGCAAATCCCAACTGTGTGCCGTTTACCAGAACAACAAGCACAACTTTAATTAATCGAGGGCCTAAGACCTTTTGCCAAGTTTCTTTCAAGGCTGATTTCACCGTTCACAGAACAACATCCCTCTGCCTAACCTGTACACTAGAATCTCGTTAACCCATCAAGAACCTTCCTATGGATTTTGGACATCACATCTTTGCAAAGGAGCTCCTCCCCATACCATCTGCACAAACTGAACATATTATTTTATTATAATATTTGAAAGAATTCTGGTTCTGAATTTGGGTGGGCAGGGTCCTTAATATTTTGCTTGCTATAGCCACAATGATTTATGCAGACCTATTGCTACAATGCCAGCACTAAGCCTGTGACATTATTGCCTGCCAACACCAGGCTAAAAAGATTATAGACATTTTCTAAAATGCACACAAGAGACTTGAATGTGCAATAAGTTCCCATAACTCAAGAACACTAAACCTTTCATGTGAACTGTGCAGGTCTTCTCACTGATTCTAAAAGTTGCTTGTTAGTCACAGGTTCTTCATTATAATGGGTGATAAAATATTACTCTGTTTTCTGTGAATCATCTTGAAATTCAGACACATTCACTCAGTCAACAACTATCCCAAACAATCTCACAGCTATATGCTGTGATGAAGTTTTGCTAATATCCCTAGGGAAATGTGGAGCATGTGAGACACACAAGTAGAGAAGGGTCTTGTACTACCTGGCTAATCAAAGGCCATATAAAATTGCCATTCATCTTCACTGCCCCAGTTTGGAACAGTATTGTGGCATCCCTTCCAACCTATAGCGCAAGATAAGCTGATAGCAGATTCAGTGGGAATTAATTGGCACTGGTTTCACAAACAGCATTTTAATTAAAAAGTTCTACTGTGCCCTGTTAAATGGATGGGGCTAAGTGATTTAGGTAAGTATGGGTTTCCCACTGCAGAGGTAAATCACAGCTGGAAGATTCAGTGCAGGCCTGCAGAAAAAAAGGGTAACTGGTGAGCATCTCAAGGCAGTGGGGTGGGATAGGAAGATATATCCTTATCAACATGTTGTCTTACTGATTCGACCTGGGGTTGCATTCACCCTTGACTAACCCTCCAGGGGCTGCATGCCAGTGGTGAGTGTGGCTGAAAGGGGATGTGGCCAGTCTACATTTTCACCCACGTTCTCATATATCAACAGGCACACACACACACACACACACACACAGAGAGAGAGAGAGAGAGAGAGAGACCACCTGCTGATGCCATGCTCTGCCCATCAGATAATGGATCTGATGACCAAGCAGGAGCAGTTTACATCTCCCCCAGAGTACTTGGCTATAGTGCCTAGGGAATCTACAGATCAAAATTTAAATGGGGTCACAGTGCCTGCTTTAAAACCTGACAACAATTAACAAAAATGGGAAAGAAACCCTGTAGCCAAACTATTGGAAATGGACCAATACAGTAGTAGTGATACTGGATTTCTGTCCAAAAACAGCATGTTGCACATGAAAGCTGTCTGCGTTAATTTTATACTAGTTACCACATGATATACTAGCTACAACAATTCAGCTAACTTTCTTATTACTGTTTGTATCATGTCAGTCCTGTATGATATGTTGATATCTTAAACAGGCATTACCTCATGCTAAAGAACAAGTAAATACTGTATATGTTATGAGTGGATATTTTGCTAAACCCATGAAAGCTGCTTCCTTAACAACTGGATAGTTTACTTGGTTTGCAACATCTGACAACAATGTAGTAATATAAAATATACAGTGGTACCTTGGTTCTCAAACTTAATCCATTCCAGAAGTCCATTCCAAAACCAAAGCATTCCAAAACCAAGGCGCGCTTTCCCATTGAAAGTAATGCAAAACGGATTAATCAGTTCCAGACTGTTAAAAACAACCCTTAAAACAGCAATTTAACATGAATTTTACTATCTAATGAGACCATTGATCCATAAAATGAAAGCAATAATCAATGTACTGTACTATAAAATAAATAAGACAGTATTGTAGATGATAAAAATTAAAAATATTATTTTTTCTCACCTGCACTGATGATAGTCATTGTTTGGATGGGGGGCTTTTATCCTTTTCCACAGTCACACAATCAATCAATCAATCAGTCAATAGCTGAACTGGGTTCTACACAGTCACAAAAACAAATTAACTCAAAAAGCCTCAAAACAAAAACGCAAAATAAATAGCAAAAACAAAAGTGCCAAACTTAATCCATTCTGGAAGTCCATTTGACTTCTGAAATGTTCAAAAACCAAGGCGCAGCTTCTGATTGGTGCAGGCGCCCCAGAAGCAATAGCCAACAGCCACATTGGACGTTCGGCTTCCAAAAAACGTTTGGAAACCGGAACACTTACTTCCGGGTTTTTGGCGTTTGAGAACTAAGGTACCACTGTATTGCTTATAGATATATCAGGTAACAGTTATGCGTCAGGAAAACTGTTAAATATTCTCTCAATGTTTATTTTTATTCTCATCTTGCTACTCTCTGATTTATCAAAGAAATTAATATGAACCTGAATTAAAACTGCTGTTGTTTCTTAAATCACTATATTCTTGCTTATAATGCCAGGGGGGAACAGCTGTTGTTTTTCCACAAGGAAAAAAGTGGCAGCAAAGAAATATGCTCATCTAAAAACTACACCTGATTTGTTTTCAGTTGCTGGCAGTGAAAAACATCGACACAATTGGGTGAGGTTAGGACAGTCTGAAGCACTTGTTTCCATCTGCTTACATAAGCTTTTGAAAGAAATTTGCAGTATTAAATGGCATGTTTAATCAAGTAACCTCTTGACCACTATTCTTTATTCACAAATCCTCCAACTTATGATGGGTGCATATAAGAAAACCTCAAATCTGAGTTCCACGCCCAACAAATTTGGGACTATGAATTTTATTTTGAACTTTGATATCTGCTTCTCAATCCCAATGTTGGCAACATTTGCTTTCAGCTAAAACTGAAGTCTCCCCCTTTTTGTAATAGCAGGTATGCAGCTGATAATCCTTGGGCCAAATTTGGACCACCTAACAAAGCATTAACAATCTGCCCTTGTCCAGACTGTCAGTTTGGTATCTGGACTGTTGCTCCTAGCTCGTAACTGGCACAATATCAGCATGATGCCTATTCTAAAAGGGGATATATTGAAGGAATTGGTTGGCATGTTTACTCAGGACTTGTGTCTAAAACTTGCTTTACCATGCTCCTCAGCCATGGCAACACTTTACAGGCAGGGATCAGCAAAGCTCCAGGAGTCAGTCAGACTGACTTTAACCAAGCAAGCCTGCTGGCCTGGAATCATAATGCTTGTGAGATCGCACAGAGTCTCTTAAACCTTTAATGAGGTCAGATAGCTAAGGCTAGTTATAATTTTAGAAAATCAAAATTAGTGAAAGAATAGCAGGGCAACTGGAAGGAAAATAGCCAGGTGCGAAAAGGAGAAGGATGGCTGACTTTTCTTCTTGGCAAAGGTGGGGGTCAGGCATGACTCAAGGTACTGTAAATCTATTATGGTACAAAGGTAAAAAGGTAAAGTCCAATCAAAGGCAACTAAGAGGAGTGGTGCTCATCTCCGCTTCTGGCACATGGAGGTCCATGACGAGTGCCAGAGTGCATGGAAATGCTGTTTACCTTCCCACTGTAGTGGTACATATTTATTTACTTGTATTGGTGTGCTTTTGAACTGCTAGGTTGGCAGAAGCTGGGACAGAGCAACAGGAGCTCACCCCATCGCGTGGATTCGAACCGCCAACCTTCTGATTGACAAGCCCAAGAGACTCAGTAGTTTCAACCACAATGCCACCCGCAGCCCTTCATTATGGTACTAACCATGATTGTTTATTTATTAATCTATTGCATTGCTATTGCATAGCTATCTCAAGGTGATGTACTGTAAAATAACAAAAAGCAGTAAA